ATTTCTCCATGGAAAAATGAGGAAATTTCCACAGAAACTCAAGGGTGGGCTTGCCAGATGAAAGCATTCATCGTGGCTCGGGGCGCTATCAACTAAATTCTACATACAGTCAGAGCAAATAGGCCCATCTCAAGCAGCTATCAAGAAAGTGTTTTCTAGGCTAACGTGTTTCTGAAACAGTTTAGAATCAGAAATTTGATAACTGTCTAAATGTTTCTAGAAACATTTTCCTTTACCTTCAGAATGACAAATTTCCTAATATGCAAATGCTAATAAAAGTCATCCAATATGTAAATCTACATGTTAGAGGACCAACACCTGCTTTCATAATGTAAAATGCTGTTTCACCCTAATGTAATGATGGCTATTTGTATATTCCTCGAAATAACATCATTTTCCTTCCTTCACGAAAAACAATCTGCTCATTACTATTAGAAAGAGAGTTTGGTACAAGTGGAAGAGAGGGCATGAAAGAGCTGGTCTTCCAGACGTGAAAAATCAAGATTTCCCCTTGCTTATCTGCCCCAACTCCAAATCTTCAGTTCTCCTATCACAAACATTTTCTACAACACTGTCAACGTAATTAAACAAATACCAAGTGGACACTGACAAGTGGAAATGCGATCCTAACATAAAAGAAGCAACACAATGACTACTGTCTTGTTTTATTCATTTCACGCATAAGTCATTTCAATCTTGTGCATTTACATTTAAATGATACTACTTTAAATTTTCCAGTCTGTTGTAGAAAATAGACTTTAAGTGACATAGAAGACATGGGGACTTATCTCAGAAGGTGTCATTTTTGGAATTGGAAGTGCCTAACAGAAAAAAAAAAAAAAAAAAGTAAAAATCCTGTTTTGCTACTGAACTTTTGAACTCAGTCTGTCAAATTCCTTTTCAGATAAATAAAATTATTTTTGGCCAAGTAATGAAAGCTTGCATTTCGTAACGATTAATGGATATGGGGAAATTATAAAAATAGGATCGGAATCATCTCATAAAGTATATCACTAAACACCTGACACCTCATTATTTTACAGTGAGGGAGAACAGCTGCAAAGTTGTTGGCTATAAAAATAGAAGTCTACTCTAAAAACGTTATTCTTAAGTCCTGTTACGAGGTCTAACATGGATGGCAATGTTTCCTTGGTGATCGCTTTACTGACTGGAGGCAAAACCTGTAAAAGGATGTATGTATCTTAAGAGAGATATGGAACCATGGGGAGAAATAGTCCTCTGGAATCCAATTTATTGTATGCTCTTTATGCTCTTGTAAAATAAAGCATCTGCAAATACACAAGACTTACTGTAAACAGAGAGTTTGTGAGCCTGGAGCACTTATCTTTCCCAGTGGGAGAGAATGTGGCTTGCTTTCTGGGGCACAGTATTCAGAAAGGCAAGGGCAAACATCAGAATTAACACTGAATTCTGAAGTTTTAAGACAGTGGCCAGGGGAGTCGCACTGAAGGGAGCTGGGAGATGGAGGATTAAAGCAGCTCAGTGCCCTGCATTTGGCACAGTTCTGTTTTGGGGCTGACTTTGGGATTTCTCTGCAATAGCCATAGACTGTCTGAAATAGCAACGTGCCAAAGACACCTCGGCAGAGATCCTGAGATTCAAAATTAGAGAGGATGGAAATAAAGTGTGAAAAAAAAAAGGTTATCACGCACAGGAAGAATGAGTGATCTTTCTGTTCCTTGGGGGGACAAAGGGGACATGTGTGCTACTATCCTTACTTCTGGTTATCTGGAATCTTCCAAATGAATTGACTCCCCTCTCTCCCTTTGCCAAGAGGAACACACTACTGTAAGCTCTCACTTCCCCGAATCCTCCTACATCCCTTTTGCTGAGATTCTTCGAGTGTAAATCAGTGTGAACCAACTTGTCGCAAGTGTGAATCAGTGCGAACCAGCAGGCCACGGGCGACACTTCGCACTTGGAGCCTTCCCCACACAGCAAAAACCCTGTCAAAACCCAGGCTTGGCAATGCTTCCTTGCACATCTCTCTATAAAAGTGCCTCTCTGAGATCCCTGGGTGTCTCAGAACTGAGTACAGTCAGCAAAACCATGCGAGAAAACAAAATAAAATAAATAAATGCTGCTTGAAGGGGGCAGTCAATTGCTTTTTAATTAAAATTTTGATTGAAATTGAACAGAGAGAGTGTGAGGGAGAATAGAGAACACAAAAGAGAGCACATTCACAAGAGTATTTAAAATTATTATTCCTTTATCCTGATCTATTATATTCAAGTCCCAAACCAATCAATTGATTAGTGTCCATGACACACTACAGAAATAAAAAAAAGTTATAATTATCATATTAAATTTATCAAGAACTACAGATAAGTTCTTCAGCTACTTGCTATACTACCTTCATGCCCAGTACTTCTAAAGAATAAAACACATATATTTACTTCCTTTCCTTCAATTGCCCATGACACTTTTTGCAGTGCTAATTATTTTGCCATTGATTTAAAAGTTGAAAAGAATGCCCTTAGCTTTTATATTCTCTGTAACATTTTTAATTGACAAATCTTGCCTTTCAATATTTATGGTTTCCATATATGTTAGGAATGTGTTTTCTTAAATATTGTATAGTGGGAATGAGTCTTACTTCCTTACTTACCAGCAATGAATAGCCAGTGAACACAATGAAGGCATAGAGATATCAGTATAGATTAGACATAAATTATCCCAGTGACTTTAAAAGAAGAAAAAAAATACAATGCAAACTCATATGGAGTATTTTATAACTCCCGGAAAATGGCTAAATTGAAGATGCAATAGGTATTTTTATTCACAAATATTAATGTATAACATTGCCTAATGACCATTTTTTTCTTGGACAAAACAAGGAACCACGAATCACACAGGGGCAGCAGCACATAGATCCCAACACATTCCGTCTGCTGCAGCCTGTAACTCCATAGCCTGTCTTGCCTATAGATGGGCAAGGCTACCATTAAACCTTCAAAATGCAAGTCAACAGGATTCACTTTAAAACATAAAACTGACATACAAGGGTATAACTCTGATTAAAGTAGACAGGCTACTGCAGGCATTCAGCTCTGCCTCTTTGTACACCAAATGCTCTCACACAACCGCGCTCCGCACAGCCAAGGCCATGTGAAATCCGTGCAATCTCCATCTCTCTTCACTCTGCTTGGTAAGTCAACGAGTCACTGCACCCTGTGCTTGCACTATGTCATAGCCTTGGCCAAACTCACCACTACAAGGAACACCCAACTGTCATTTCCCCTCCTGCTATTTGCCTGTTTACCCCTTGCTGCACCAGCTCTCCCTCCCTAGGCATTCGGAAATGACAGACAGGAGAACAAGAGAAAGGCAGTGCGAGTGTCAAAGGAAATCTAATTGGTTCAAGACTCTCTACTGTCTTTAATTTTGAAAAGTCATTTACAGCTGTCTGAAGTACGTGTGAAACACTGGCACCCATGCGAGTGAGGAGGCAATTATGATCCTGAACTATTTCATATTCATTCTGCACAGCTGGAAAAAACTGGGTACGGGGCCAGAGAGCGGCACCCTGAGCTCGCTGCTCGGAGAGGAGGCGACCTGGGCTCTCGCAGCCAGGAGGTGCTGCTGCTCCTGACACATCTTTGCAGCTCCCTCCTGGAAGATGCTGAGCCCTCCAAGCTCACCCCAGCCAAAGTGCTTACGCTCTTACTTAACTTGGCAAATGCATATGCATGAAAATGCTTTCATTAGTTGCAATAGAGAGTTTGCAAGCAGGGAAAATGAGGTCCAAGAAACAAGTAAGTGAATCCCAGCGTTACTTAAGAAGTTCACGCTTTAGCCAGACATTTTATGCTTTAACTATACAACTGGAAAGTCTTCAACCAACCAGTATCAAGCAAGTCAGCTTGAAGTTCTATATTTATACAATCAAGAGCAAGTCAAGGTAAATTGAGAGCTAATGTTGTATTTAGTATTATTTTGCCCGAACTACCTACTGCCTAAAAAGATTTGGTATTGAAATGAAGAACTTCATTCCTTAGGTCACAGACTAAAGTCTACCCCAGCTGCAGTTGCTACCGAGCTGTAGGAAATTGGAGGATGGTTTTACTCTGCCCAAAACAGTTAAACCCTTTCTTTGAAGCATCAGCAGAGAGAGCGATGCAAAAACCAGAAAAGGAAGGCTGAATTATCCCCCAAATTCTTGTAAGGGCCACTGCAAAAAGGGGAAATGGGGAGCACAACCGATGCTGCACAGATTGGCTTCAGCAGCACAAGAGGCTGCAGAGTTCTGAGAGGTCAGGTTCTGTAACATTTAATCTCGGAATTCTTAATTCAAAAACACAATATATGTTTAAAACAATCCTTTTTTAATTTCTGCTTGGACTTCTTACCTCTGTATTCTGTTGATTTTTTAAATCAGATTAAAACTTAAAAGAACAGTATTTCTGCTTGTTTATTCATTTCCAGACTTTGATTATGTAAAATACTCTTAATATATTTTAGGACACTGAACAAAGCAGAGAGACTCATCATCTTATTTAAAGAGTCTGTACTGTTTCAAAAATTAAAAGAACCTGTATCGTTTACAAGAAAAAGAGGACTAAATTCTACAGATAAATTTTAAAAGCATTAGCACTGTAGTGCTCAAATCAGTTGTACTAAATATAACTGTCTAAACACAAAACATGCCTTTTCTAAGCAAACATTTCACCCGTCTTAATTTAATTGTTAAAGGGTTCCAGCTAGACCACCCTTACAAATTGTCAGGCATAAGGTTTGCTTGTTTGCCCTTCATGACAACACATCCCCAAATACAGAGAGTATTTCAGCTTATTCTCTGAATCGTCTGCCAAACTACAGCTGAACTGTAAACACGAAGAACATGTTAAGCCTATTCAAGCCTACAAAAAAAAAAATCAAGTCTTGCACAGTAAACTCTGCTATAATTTCCTGATGTAGGTCAAAACTCCGCAGGAAATCACATTGTCTATTTTTATCCCAGTTCACTGGAAGTGCTTTACCTTTCTGTTTTCTTGATCAGCACAGCCCTGAAGATTTGTTCCTGGGGAGTCTTCACTTTTTCATCAGTTGGTTGCACGAACGGGTGGACAGCAGCCAAGGCGAAGCCCTGCTGGTACAATTCCTGCAGCTGAGCTGGGAGATCACGCAAGGAGGAAAGCTTGATTGCAGATGATCCTGGCAGCTCAGCTGGAAACGAAAAGAAATTGGTCAATAATCCTACACCGGACTACTGTGTTTTTCAAGAGCCAGGCTCTTCAGAGATAAGCAAGTGTCACACTGATCTACAATATTAGCACAGAAATTCACTATAATTTGCTGAGGCCCATTTTGTATTTCAGATTTGAAGCAGACAATCTTAGCGAAGGGTTGCTATCACATAAAATGTGTGCAATTAAATAAGGAGTCAGACATGTTAAAACACCAAATTCAGCTTGTATCCTGGACAGACAAAGGGAGGATTTAAAGCGTACAAAAGATATTCCAAGTTTTAATAGTCAACAAACCAATGCAACTTGAACAAAGGGCACCATGAGTCAAAAATATAACACAAGCAGATAGTGGAGGAAGGCAAAATGTGTCAAATTCAAGAGCGATAAA